GGCCACGGGGCCGCAGGTGTCCTCGTGGCGGACACGAGCAAGCGGTGGAAGGGGGCAGGAATGCAGGCACCTCGCCCGGCGGTCCGCCCAATGTGCTGAGCAGTAACATCTGCTTGACGACTGTTTGGGCTCGCAGTAGAGGCCCAAACCCCATGCCTCGCACCACACCCCCCGGCCCCAATCTCGGCCCCACCAAACCCCGGCCGCCAACCCAGATCACCGACAGCAGCGAGGCGCTCCTCAGCGGCCGCAAGCCGCCGCTGCGCCTCCTCGTACGCGCCAAGCACCGCGACGGCCGCGCGCTGGCGGTCCGCCCCGCGGTCAGCGAGGGCTTCGTCGTGACCACGCGGCGCACGCGCAACGACGTGAAGGCGGACATTCCCAGCGTCGACGACCCGATCAGCAAGATCAAGCACATGGGGAAGGAAACTGTCAAGAAGCTGCAGGACCTGCGGAACGCGGCGACGCAGGCGCGCGTCCGGCGGCGCAGCCGCGGCGCGCGGCGGGGCCGGGGCCGCGGCGGCGGCGGCGGCGGCGCCTGCTCGCCCACAGTTGCCGCGGCGCGTCGCCCGCGTGCGCAAAAAGCGGTGCCGCGAGGCGCCCTCCGCGCGCCCTCAGGGCTGCCTCGGACCGACTGACCGGAGTTCTGCCACTTCCTCGCCCCCGCACGCCTCCCCCAGGCCGGCACCGAGATCGTTATCCCTGAAAACTGCGTGAACAAGGTGCGGGAGTTCCAGGCGCTGGCGCGGCGCGCTGAGCAGGACGGGCACCTGCGGCAGAAGGTGAGGAGGCACGCGGCATGCGCCATGCGCCATGCGCCATGCGGCACGCGCCACGCGCCATGCGGCATACGGCATGCGGCACGCGGCATGCGGCGGCACGCGCCCGGGCTCGGCCACGCGCCCGCGACGCGCACCCGGGGCGGCGGCGCGGGCGGCGCGCCTGGCGGAATGCGCGGGCTTGGAGCCGCGCCTGGGCGTACGGCGCGCAGCGCGCGGCGGGGCGCCCCGCTCTGTGGGGGCGGGCGCCGCTCATCCGACGCGCTTCGCCCGCTCGCCCCTGCCCTGCGCCCGGCCGCCGCCGTGTCGTCCGCCCCCCGCAGCTGCAGCACGTGCTGAAGCTGTCTCGTGAGAAGTGGGAGGAGGCGAGAGACCACGCGCTGGGGGCGGTGGTGCCCGATAACGCCATGAGGGCGTGGTATGCTGACCGGAGGTGAGGGCCGGGTGGAGTGGGGGCGTGGGGGTGAGGTGGAGCAGATGCCTGGCTGGGGGGGATCATGGGGGCGTGGGGCTGCAGCGGCAACACTAGCAGGCGGCGACGACCCACAGCGCGGCGCGTAGATGCGGCAGCCGGCTCCGCGGGAGTGGGGTTCACTGGGGGAGGGGGTCCTTCATGATCTCTGGCAGCGCTCGCCCCTCGCGCGCCCTGCGGGCCGCGCTCGAAGTGTGGGGCCGCGGTGGATGGCGGTGCGAGCTAGCGCCCGCGCACAACCGGCCAACGCTCACCCTCCTCCTCTCCCCTCCTCCCCCTCCACACACACACACACACACACACACACACACACACACACACGCGCGCGCACACACACACACACACACACACATTCACAGGACGATGGCCCTTGGGCTGCTGTTCTCCTCCCGCCTGGCGAAGGTCGAGCTTGAGCGCCCTGTGGGTGAGCAGCCACGCGGAAGCTGGGAGGCAGCTGCGGCCCCCGTCCCGCCGGGCCGGCCGTCGTGGGGCAGGGGCAGCCCCGGCCCACGCCACCTCCGGCTGGGAGCCTTGATCGGCCGCCTGTCCGCCTCCCGCTCGACACTGCATCGAGGCATCCCATTCGGCAGCGGTCCCCGGCCGCAGCCGACCGTCGCGCCTGGCCCCACGTTGCCGCCACCGCCCCGCCGCCGCTCTCTCGGTGCCCCACGCAGCGCTCCTGGTGCGCCGCGTGTCGGAAGGCGGGGAGCCGCTCGTCGACGTCGTCCCCTCCGCGCAGCTCACGCCCGAGCAGCGGGAAGCTGTGCGGCAGCTGCAGCCGCAGGCAGTCGCGGGCTGGTGGAGCAGCGGGCACACGGGCTGGACCATTTTCCCGATCGACTCGGACCGATTCGCGGCGGTGAGCGCGCAAGCGCGCCGTCATGTAGCTGCTGGCGATGCCACTGCGCGCCCCCTGCGCCCCCTGCGAAACCCCAAAAGCCGCGCCACACGCAAACACGCCAGCGGTTCCATGGTAGCGGGCGGCTGGCCGGCGCGCGCGCTGGCTGTGGCTGCAGCGTGGCCCGACCTGCGCACGCCTTGCACCGCGGGGCTGACGCGGATGCTGATGCCGACCCGCCGCCCTCCGCCGGCTGCTTTTTATTCACTCCCCAAAGGTCGGCGGCGTGCTGCCCCCCATATCCCCCGCGGCGCTGGTCGGCGCCCACAACTCGGCGGCGGCGGCGGCAGCCGCCGCCGCGGCGGCTGCGCCGCAGCCGGGGTATGGCGAGGATGACGGCGGCGTCGCAGCAGCGGCCGGCACGAGCGCGGGCGCGGGCGCGGGCGCGGGCGCAGCTGGGCTGCCGTCGGCTCAGGAATTGATGGCCATGATGAATGGTGGGTGGGGGGACGGGTCGATCTCCGGCGTCGCACGTTTGAAGCTGCGGTGGCAGGGGGAATGTGGACAGGAGGAGGGACGCCGTATGAGCAGTCGGCGGAGCCTAAGGTTCACGGGGGCCACGGCGCGGCAGGTTGCGGCGCCCGCAGCAGCACCCTGTTCCCCCCCCCTCACCCGGTGCACTCAACCCCTTTCACCTCGCGTGTATCCGTTTGCCTTGTGCGCCCACCCTTGAATGCTTTTCCACTTCCACTTGCCCATGGGCCGCAGCTGGCGCGCTGACTCAGGCGGTGGTGGACCGGGTTGCGGCTGCAGTGCAGGCGGAGACGTGCCCGCCCGACGTCATGCAGCTGCTGCAGCAGATGATGATGACTACGCAGCAACAGCAGCAGCAACAGCAGCAGCAACAGCAGCAGCAACAGCAGCAGCAACAACAGCAGCAGCTACACTTGCAGCACCAGCAGCAGCAGCAGCAGCAGCAGCAGCAGCAGCAACAGCAGCAGCAGCAGATGGCGTCAGCCGCCGCGGCGGCGGCTGCCGCGATGCCCCCGCCGTCGCGCGTGCTCATGGGGCCGCCGCAGCCGCAGCTGCAGCCACAGGCAGGGCAGGAGCAGGCGCAGGCGGCGCGCGCC